AACATGTCTGGAGCCTTATCAAAGGCTCAGGTCGTTAATCACGTCAGAGGGCTCGACCGGAGGAGTATCTCGGTCATAGCGGAGATTCCGACATGCCCTGCTCTACTCCAGTTGGTCGTTTTGCAGTCACTTGGTCCCTAAAGCCACTGGCTTGGCTTGGGGGCTGGCCACAAAACATTATTTAATCCCTGCGTGATGTTCGCTGGACCTCTTTGCCTTCGTGCAGCAGATCACCCGCCCATCCACCACCTTTATCTGGCGTTGGCCTTGCTATGGACATTGTTTTGCAATGGGGGCCTGGTAGGAATTTTTTTCCATCTGGCATTTGGTTTGGTTTTTGCCTACCATGTAGCAATCATCACAACTTTGGGGGTGAGGCATTGGATCAGCAATGTGTGGGGAGGGGAGGTACGTTCATCACCTGCCCCTCCAAGCTCAAGGGTATTCCGTTAAAGGAATCAGGGGTTGGCCTGGGTCTTGTCCAAAACCCTGCGGTAGGGGCTAGGGCCATACCCGGACCCCATGGGGGCACTGGGGGGTGAGCTCGAGTCGGTCTGCATTGATGGGGCTCCCTCTGGCAGAGTTCCACCCTTTTATCAGATTCCCCGCAATGCGGGTGGGAGTCTGATATAGTTTGGATGATTCCAATGCCTAAGCCAATACCACTCACATTCTGTATTCAATAAAGTCGTGGTCTAAATTTTGCCCAATAACTTAAACTAAAATCCCGTGTCACTGTGTCTTCATTTTTTGGGGTGGTTGGGGGGTCTCAAAGCGCAACACTTGGACCATGCAACATGCAAGGGCCAAACCAGCGAAATCTTTACACCATAAAAGCAGAGCATGTAGATTGAGCTCTCCATGCATTGGGAGATATGTGTGCACAGAGCAAGGGTGGACATGTGATCCTGAATCAGGAGACATGATAATACACACACACTGTGATTACAGTGGCTAGGTGGGTAAATAAAGGCAACAACTAAATGTGACTTTTGTTGTATCAACTATATTGGGTGGTTTACACAATTTTGATTTCTTTTGAAAGTTTTCTATCTTCTTTCCGTAGTTTAGTAAAACATCTTATCTGAACCCTTTTGGGTTTTCGTCACTAGTTGGACGAATATAGAGAATTGCCTCAAAGAAATAAGGAAAGGTTAAATGGTCTGGCCATGTGATAGGAATTTGATGTCTGAACGAAAACACTTTGAACTTTATGAGGAATGCATAGATTGGAAGGGAGAGAAAAGGGAAGCCATGAAAAAGATGGATGGACCCTTATGTTTCCCTCCCCTTATGGTCTTGATTTATCGGCTACTTTTAAAATGAGGCTGCATTTTAAATTGCATTTTAACCTGTATTTTAAATTGTTTTTGTTTGTTTTTCCTCCCCCACCCCCATTACGTTTTTACTGTGATTTTATTGGTGTTAGCTGCCCTGAGCCCGGCTCTGGCTGGGGAGGGCAGGGTAAAAATAAAATTTATTATTATTATTATTATTATTATTATTATTATTATTATTAGATTCTGTTTCGTGAAAGGAATGAAGCTTGGAGAGTCAGTGAGATTCGCTAGAGATAATTCCACATATAACTTACAGGAGAAAAGCAACGATTGTCTAGGATTAGGAGCCTGGAAACACTTCTCTTCCCCAGTCTGAACTGACACTGCTCCTAATTTTAAAAAGGGAGACTTTTGCTCAAGAAACAGCAAGCTTTGCTGCGACTCAGCATCACTTTAGATTGTCCAAGATACATGTTGTTCGATTCACAGCTTATGAGCCTCAAGTGTAAAAATAAAACCTTCGAAGCTCATTCCTTGGACTTGTTCTGCTTGGTGCAGACACTTCCATATGATGGCGTGTCACAGGCATACTACGTGGATCAGTAGTAAGAGCGGTGGAAATCACCACATAAAACATAATCATTGCTAAGGCTGATACACATGGATCATTATTTTTATTTTTTTTTAAAAAATAACAATCTGATTTAAATTTAAAACCAATTATGAATCAGCCATATCAACCCTGCTTTACAAAAAAAAATCAAAATTTAATGCAACCATGCTAAATTGTAAACTGGAAACTGAATTCCTGACTCCTCTGTCTAGCACACAGCATAGAAAATTGCCTTTTTATATACAAAGAAGGACAATGGAGGCAAAATAACATAAATATTCTATAGCACACATTGTGTTTATTAATGTGGCAAATTATTAGTATTTATGGTCCTTTCAACAAAATATAATGGTCATTTACTTTCCAGCTCATGGAAAACCACTATTTAGCCCAGCAATTACCAGAATTGTTTCTAGAAAGTTTGGTGCACGCAACCCAGATTTCTTGACCACGTTGTGCTTTTTGTCTTCAAGTGGTCTTGGATTTTTTATATTAATATTTTATTAAGAGTGTTTCATTCATAAAAAGGTAGAGTGAAGAAAGAAAGAAAGAAAGATACTGTTACATTACCATACATTAATATACAGATCCTGTATATTATTCTAATACACATATAATTGTCAGTAACGTAATATATTCTGTCTAAACTCTTTCCAAATACCATTGTATTTATCCAAACAAAGTCTGCATCTATAAACTGTCTGTTCAAATGTTTCCAATGTAGTCTTGGTGTATCTCTATTCTTCCAATTCATCAGTATCAGTCTCTTGGCCACCCTGAGGGAGTGTAGACTCCATTTTCGTTGTCATGGTGTCAATATACAGTGGGTATATAGTTCAAGAGCATATTCACCTCTGAAAATCTTGATTTTTTCCCATCTTGTTTATATATTCCAGCACCTTCTCCAAAATCTTAGTTAGTGTGGGCCACAATAAAAGCATATGTTTCAAGTGGTCTTGCATGTGAAACTATTATTTTGCATATTTCTATAAACACACATGTCCAGTGTTTCTGGATTGTGTTCCTGAGTATTACAAAGGCTTTTTAGTTGAAAACCAGTGTGCATCCTTGCTCTTTATGCAAGAATTATAAAATGAAAAACTTGAGTTACAACGGTCCTTCTACCATGGATGGTTATTCCATTAATTAACGGCAACAGTTCAACATTTTTGCAAAATATTGCATTGTTTTTGTTCTGTGTAATATGTAAAATATAAGCCCTGCACACTTGTACTGGTCTCCTGAGAGCTTATCTTTCCCACAGTGCTGTGTGCTGAACTTGAAAAGGTGGCTTTATTAGCAATATCCTAAGTACTAAATGTAAGAGGTTTAAACTCCCAAATATGCAATGGCCAGATTAAATCTATAAATATTTAGTCCCAAGTATGTTGTAGAACTTCAAGACAAAGTAAAATTGCAAAGTATGTTGGATTTATATTCTGTTCTACTTTATATGGATTAATACTCTTGCTGATAAATAAACAGTAACAGCAGATAGGAGTAAACAGGAATAGTGAATGTAGGCTTCAGTCTCAACCATACTGGTTAAAAGCTTCAATAACTTTAACTCCCGTGAGTTGATGTTTGCGCACATAAAGCTACCCCATTTCTATCCCTCCCATCCCTAATTAGTAAGTTGGCAAAATGATGTGGTAACTTGCCCAAGGTTGCCTACATAGCTTTCTGAAGGAAAGCAACAATGATCTCAAAGATCATCAAAGTCTAAAAATCTGCACTATACCATAGTTTCTCAGGTTAAAATGGAGGAAATATTAAAGCTTTTAAAAATATATATTAAAATAATTTTACTCAGGATTCTGATCTGTGTGTGTGTGTGCTAATTTAACACACTTATGAGGCTAGTTCATTAGAGAATCTAGACCAGGGGTCAGCAAACATTTTCAGCAGGGGGCTGGTCCACTGTCCCTCAGACCTTGTGGGAGCCCGGACTATATTTTGGGGGGGAAATGAATGAATTCCTATGCCCCACAAATAACCCAAAGATGCATTTTAAATAAAAGGACACATTCTACTCATGTAAAAACACCAGGCAGGCCCCACAAATAACCCAGAGATGCATTTTAAATGAAAGGACACATTCTACTCATGTAAAAACATGCTGATTCCCGGACCGTCTGCGGGCCGAATTTAAAAGGCGATTGGGCCGGATCCGGCCCCTGGGCCTTAGTTTGACTACCCATGATCTAGAATATTGTTGCCTTCTAATAAACAGAAATAGGCAAATGATGCACACCCTCCACATCATTGCTAGACACTTGGATCAAGGATATAACATAATTTTAATTGTGAACTTTTATAGTAAATATTTGTAGCACAGATTGGTAGTGACATGCTCCCCTGGTCCAAATTATAGCAATAAGTGTTTTACTCAACTCCAGAAGGATTCTGCAGTAACTCGGGAATGAAGAAAATTAAATAGAAGAGTTATAAGGATTTTGTTCCATTCAGTGGAACATTGGAAAAAACTGAGGCCATCTGAAATATCAGCTTAATGGTCAATAACTTTTCCTGTACGTAATAGAATGTAGGCATCATTCATATTTTCTCTCTCTTATTAATAGCATTTTGATAGTTCAGTTGCAACGCTTGTCCTTGATGTGCCCTGAAATATCATAGCCAGCTCACTTATTACAGAATGTTACTTTAATTTCCAAGGTGAAATGTTCCCATAGCAGGTATATTGGGAAAAATATGGTCCAAACAATTACACTTACATTTACTTTTTAAATGGCTCAAAGAAAAGATGGTTACGATTTTTGCTGATGCTTGGAATGACCTAGAGTCCGAGACAGTAAATGATACACAACCTTAAAATACCTGAGGTAGCCTTGCTTTAGAAATTTTAGTAGAGTATTATTAAATGTCACAGTAAATTACACAGCCATAGTCCAGTTTATGTTTTTGCATTATCTTTCTCTGTGTCTCCTGGTAATTCAAGTCCTCTTGAAGCAATATCATCTTCCAACTTCTACATTTATAAGTGATTCTTGAGTTGCTTTGAACATGTTGAACTTGGATGGTGCTTTGACTTTTAGCCAATTAAATGATGATCATATACCATTCAAGTCAGTGGCAGGGATGCATGAGCTGGAATAGCTCAGATGGTAGAGTATGAGACTCTTAATCTCAGGGTTGTGGGTTTGGGCTCCGTGTTGGGTCAAAGTTTCCTGCATTGTAGATGACCCTTGTCGTCTTTTCCACTCTACAATTCTGTTTTATGAGCGACCAATTAGCTGCCAGGAACAAGGGTTTTTGCTTCAATGCACATCACTTTACATCAACCTAAGAATGTGAAAAGCTCTGGTTGGCATAGCTGTCAACCGTCCCTTATTTGGTGGGAAACTCCCTTATCCCAGCGCCATTTCCCGCTGCTGTCCTGGATTGATGATATCCTGTAAATTTCCTGGGTTTCAAAGGAAGCAGCTCCTCCCCGTCCCTCCCTACCGGCCAGGGAGGAGGGAGGCTCCAACTGTGTTGCTTGGCTGCGTTGCTCACCCAATAAGGAGTCTAAGAACAACCGGGGGGTGGAGCTTGCTTGCCTTGTGCCGATCAAATTGGCCGCGTTGCCTGGGGACTCGCCTTTCCTCAGTGCTTCCCAGCGGAGAGGTGATGGTGGTTTTCCTTGCTGCATCCCTTTTGCTGGGTTGCTGCACTGTGGGAACCACCACTTGAGGCTTCGTTTGGCTGCTGGTTGACTAAAATCCCTTATTTTGGCTGCTGATCCCTTATTTTTGAGGCTGCTGGTACCTTATTTTCAAATCTGTAAGTTGACAGCTATGCTGGTTGGCCAAACCAAAGACCGTCTAGTCCAAAAACCTGTTTTCCACACTGGTCAACCAGGTGCGTCCGGAAAGCCTGCAAGCATAACATGAGGACAAACACTTGTTCCTACTGTTGTTCTCCATATGTGCCTGGAAGTTGCATATAGCTAACATGACTAGTAATCTCTGATAGCCTTATCCCAGGCAAACTCCGGCCCTCCAGATGTTTGGGACTACAATTCCCCTCATCTCTCACCATTGGCCCTGTTTGCTAGGGATGATGGGAATTGTAGTCCCAAACATCTGGAGGGCCAGAGTTTGCCTACGCCTGCCTTATCCAGTGGGTTGGCATATTTTGAACAAGTTAAAATGTTTGACAAGAGATGATGGCACGTAGACAGGTGCTTTGTCTTTTTCTATGAGACTTTGTTGGGGTGGATTTCCATAAAGATTTCTACATTTGTCCTGTGGCTTTTGGGAAATGGTTTGTCAAGGAAACCTCAAAGATGTGTGTTTGTCTAATAGTATTGTGACATGTTTGTAGTTTATTTAAAAGGTATTTCTGTGGCTAGTGTTAGTCAATGAGATATTATCAGGGTGTCCCCGGCATTATTGTTGTTAATTTATTAACATGGCTTCAGCCCTGTAAACCTGAAGGAGCGTCTCCACCCCCACCATCCAGCTCAGACACTGAGGTCCAGCTCCAAAGGCCTCCTGGCAGTTCCCTCACTGCAAGAAGTGAAGCTAAAGGGAACTCGGCAGAGGGTCTTATTGGTAGTGGCACCCACCATGTGGAACACCCTTCCATCAGATGTCAAGGTGATAAAGAACTATATAACCCAGCCATAGGCAAACTTGGCCCTCCAGATGTTTTGGGACTACAACTCCCATCATCCCTGACTACTGGTCCTGTTTGCTAGGGATGATGGGAATTGTAGTCCCAAACATCTGGAGGGCTGGAGTTTGCCTATGCCTGCCTCATCCAGTGGGTTGTTTTTTGTTTTGTTTTGTTTTAGGGGAAAAGGTGCCAGAAGTCACCATGAAGTTGTTAATGTAACTTAATGTGCCATACATTTAACATGGGGGGGGGAGGTACCAGTATCCCCAGAAAAAGTACCCCCAGAGAGAAAAAAGCACTGGCCCTTATCTATCCATAAATTGCCACCACTTGTAGTAGCAAATTCTACAGTTCAACTATGTGCTGTGCGGAGACATACTTCCTTTTCTCTGTCCCGATTCTTTCGCCATTCAAGTTCATTGGGTGATCCCAGATCCATTTCAGTTTCTAGCAGTTGCTTTCAAGACTTCAGTGCAGTTTCTTACATTTCCACACCAGATTGTGATATATATATATTTTTAGGCCTCATGAAAAAAAATTCAGTGCACATTCCTGCTGTTACATTTTGCAAGCCATTTCCCCCAAGAATGATGAACTTTATATGCTGTTTTCTACAATATTATATGCAATTTTCCCACCATTTCCCCTAATATTTTTGCACATTATTTTGTTAGAGAAATGCTTCATGGGGCTGGTGGGAGGCAGAGGGCGAGAGGTTGCCCATCCCTGTCATGGAGGGTGCAATCTCAGTGTGTATGTTTTTATTTTCAAAAGATTAATGCAAACAAGGAATCTGGTTACTTGGACCCTAGCTCCTTAATATTTTGACTGGAACTGGATTGTGCAGATAGACTTAGGTTTTACTTCAGAGGAGCTCTTCCTTCAGGAAATCCTCATGCTGGTGCTCTGTGGATTATCTTGCAGTGAGCTAACCTCCTGTGTTGCATGTTAAAGATAAGAATGGCGAACCTCATGTGCTTTGCTTGACTTATGACAACCTCTTCAAATTTGCACTCCATGCACTCCCAAGTCCTATCTTTAATCAGTGCTATCTCACAATGTAAAATAATTGGACAGAAATAATGTGTTGCATAGAGGTCACCAAGTCAATCCAGAGAAACCTGTTAACCTTTGAAATATGGAGGTCAGATCTTGGGTTCTGAACGAGTATCGGGCACTGTGGATAAGGAGTGTGAAGTAAAGAATTCTCCCCGTCCTTGGAGTTTCTCCTTCTGGCCAATTTCCAGGTGTGAATGAGAAGTGTCAGAAGGCTTGTTCAAACTTAACAACCATCCTCAATTGACTTAAGAGGCCAAATTTTACAGGTAGACACTAGAGCACTGTAGGATTTTCTTGCTGCTTTCAACATTCTGAAATAGACAAATCTGTAGTACTGCAATAGTATTCTTTATCTTGACCCAAACAATGTGCTCTTTTTAGAATCTGATCTTTTTTACATTTTAAATATTTTAAAAATGGAAAACTGCTTCTGCCGATATATAGCCAGCTATATATGTATATATGTATAGTAAAACCAGTATGACTTACTTCAGGTTAGAAGTTCATGACTGAAGCAAAAGAAAACACTTGATCCTTTCTGTTGCTAAGACTAACACCAGCTCCAAGTCAGTTTCATCTATTGCAGTACATCAAATGGGTGCAGACAGCAAGCTGACTGTTTCATGTCTCTTTGGTTTATTTCTGTCACATAAAATATTTGCTTATTTCAAATTAAGCATTTTTTTACAGATAGAAATAGGGTAAGATTCAAAAGAGAGCACTGACTAGCCCACAACACCTTTCCATCTCGCCTTTCAAATCTGTCTTCAAACCTACCTTTTCTGTGTGGCCTTTGAATTATCCCCATAATTACTAGCAGAAAAATATAAATAATCCCATACCATCTATTTTTTTAAAGAAGAAAACCCCAAATAAATGGAAAAGGCAGGGTCTGTGTGCTACAAATATGCTGGAAATTATTTAATTAATCCTAATATTATGTTTAATTAATCCTAAACTTTTCTTTGGCAAAGTTGTTGGCATAGACCAGGGACGGAGAACCTGTGACTCCCCCAAATGATGTTCGACTCCATATCAGGATGAATTATTTTGAAAAAAATATGTACTTTGGTCAAAACTGCATACGAAAGATTATACAATTAGGAGAAATTCACACTAAAATGCTGGTGAATTTTCATGATGGTTTTTAAAAAACAGCAATTTGCTGCAGCAATGTGGAGAACTGACTGGAAAAATGAGAAACGGGGAGAACTGGAAGTGAGCATGTTCTTAGCCACCTCTGTAATGCGCCATGCATCAATTAATACCAAGACCCTCTATTCCATCCAGCTACTAATGAAAGTAGTGTATCGCTTATGGGGGTACTTGCCTGCCTATTGCAAATAAACTGAGTAACTACTTGTCTCAAACATTCTAATTTGATGTCTGCCCTTAATTTGTCATTTGAAATTTGTGGTGGAAGTGTGTTTAATTTACTGTTCGTGCAGCAGAAGGTTTCGATTTGCAATACAAGTAAGCGTAGCAATTCTGTTGCGTCTTAGATGGGCACTTTTAGATTTTGCTGGGCTTGGACTGCTTGGAAAGTTGGGAAATCCTAATTCTTTGTATTTGTTTGTTTGTTTGTTTGTTTGTTTATTAAATCATATATACCGCCCTTTATGCAAAGATCACAGGGCGGTTTTATAGCATCGAGTTTGCAATGCTTGTTGTATTTGGCAATTGCTAGTTAGAATGGTACTTACAAGCATGGAATGGAAGAAGCAGACAGGTAGTGGCTGGCTGGCTGTTCAGTTGAAACGGCAAAAACGGTTAATCATACTGCTCCTTCAGGTAATTGCTACTTCCTAAAACAAAGCTGTACATGCACAGTATATTTTCTTTTTCTTTCATTTTGTGTCCCCCCCCCCCCCATTCTGCACAAACAGCTCACTTTGAGGAAATGGGAGCTGGGCTGAGCTGTTTCCTTCCTAGCAATTCTTCAGGCTATCAAGATATGTGCCTGATTTGTTTTTTGTTTAATGTTCTAACATTACGTCTTAAAAAACACAAAAAAAACTCACATGGAACTGGATCACATTTGCCAGTATATTTTGTATTATCTGCAACCTGAGCTGATTAAACAAATTTGTAATTATTTAAGGGTGCAGTCCTACACACATATATTGAACTAATTCCCATGGAATTCTGTGAGGGCTTACTTCTTAATATAAATGTATAGGATTGCACTGTTAAGTTTATTTGTTTATTTTTTTAAAAAAAATCATGCTTTTATTAATATAACATCGTCTTTTTTAGTTTTTATTTTATTTTTTCTTATCCATATTATTATTTGCTGGAATTGTATTAAATGGAGTATGCTGATTTTTAACCAATATATAATAGGGATTTTTTTAATTAATATAACATCATTTATTTAATCTTTAGTTTTAGGTCATCCATCAGTGATGTTTAGATAGATTCAACCATCTATTGCACACAATGTAAAGATTCATTCAGTGTTATAAGTTTTTGTCACCTGTTGTGCTTTTTTTCAATCAATGCATCATTAAGCATTATGCACATTAGTCTCTCAGCTCCATCAACTCTCAACCATTATTTCCAAGCAACCATGCATAGATTTGGCTGTTTGTCACAACTCACTTTTGCTAGGATACTGACAACCACCATTAGGAGGACCACTGTTGGTAGCTTAAGGCCTGTTTAGGCAGAGCTGGGTCCTCCGTCACCGTGGAGTGCCTCCCCCTAGCAGTGCTCCTCTGTTAACAGAAGCTGGCAAAAAATGCAACTCATGGCATCCTAACTTCCCCCAGGCATTCACAGCAGAAGGTTACTAAAATGCAACAGACAATAGGTGGTATTAAACAGCTCTAACAGCAGTAAAGCAACATGAAGACACATTCATTGCCAACAGCCAACAGCAGCTCCAGATAATAAAACAGTCTTGACCTGTCAACCGATAACAATTGGTACACTACCGTGGCAAAGAGTAATAGCTGTAATCCAGATTCAAGATGCTCCATGCCATAATTTTATACACAACACAGACAACGATGTTAGCTGAACATCATTGTGATGCACTGGTGGGAAAGCTGCAATGGAGACTAGTGGTGTAGCATGGGTTGCCAGCGTCCAGGACAAGGCAAGTATTGCACCCCCTAACTGGTGCCTCCATGTGGCGCTGCTGCCAGACAGAGCTGCGGAGCAGCAGTGGGGCATGTGTGTGTGCCTCCTTGGGTTGGGGTGCCGCCGCCACCACTGCCGTGAGCATCACCATCCATCCAGCTCCCTCACCAGCAAGGGACACTGCACGGCTGAGGGATACAAGGGACCGTCCCTTCCCAGCTCCTGCTCATCATGCTGCTCAGACATTGTGGTGGGTAGGATGGAAAGCACCTCCAGTCTGGGTGGCAGCTGCAGAGATGCGCTCCTAAAAACTTTTGTGCCCACCACCTT